AGTTTAGGACAATCGGGGCTAAATTGAACGACTCTGTGGGAGCAATGCAAGTAAATTGAGTGACGCTTTGGAACAATGCGTCTAAATTGAGTGACATTTTGATACAATGCGACTTAATTGTAATGCAATCTTTGTCTCACCTTTGTTTCTATCGTTTTCTGACCACACGAATGTTTTGGAAAATTATTTACGATAAGTTAATATTAAGTACCTCAGGTTTGCATAATTTCTAAAAGTAGCTAAGACATTATTCGATCATTTTTATTGTAATAAAATGAGATTCAAATGATCGAATGACTTCAATTGTACGACGTACAAACTCAGTTCCAAGAAACAAAAGATACTTTTTTGGAAGCATGAAATATTAAGAACTAGACTACCTGACCTATTTTAAAAAGATCTATTATTAACGCTGAGAGGGGGTGTAAAACCATTAGATGTTCACCTTTCGTGACTAGAAACTCACACGTGAGTTTCATGCTTTTATCTGTAATCTGTTTGAAGTAATTACGATAACAGACGGCACATTACGCTAAGTAATTTGCAGAAAAGTGTATTACGCGCGGTGTTATGTGTCAAAGACGGGAGTATAATCTGAGAACGTGTTCACATTTAACGAAACTAGCGATAATTTTGATATTTCCAACTTGGTGTGATGCTAGCGATTTCACGTTACGTTATCGGCGATAACTTTTGTCCAAGTATTGTACTTTTCGTAACTCGTGATATTTATCAGGAAATTTAGAGTTCTTCCAATTGTGAAAGAAAATGTTAGAAGTTGATTTGTAACGAGTGTAATTTAAACGATACGATCTGTATCATCTTTGTGGAATTTTTTAAAGATCCGTAAGGACAGACGACAACTTTCACCTCTAGATTATATTTTATTCTTGAAAGCTTTATTGCCTAGATTTAAGAACGTTAATCCTAAAAGGACTACAGTTACGCATTTACGATGCTGTTACTCTTTCTCGTGATCAAGTGAATGTGTTATCTCCTCTGAAAAGTGTAATCCAATCAAGGAAACTGCAAACTTCACTCTAACCCACACAGTACATAAAAAAGTTTACGAGAAAAGTCGGAGTACTTCTGTTGATTGATCTTTACTAATCGGTTTCTAAGACCAACTTTGATTTGAAGCATAGTAATAAGGGACAGAGAGGATTGTATACTACCTTTGTTAGTCTGGTAGCTTAGGATTTTCGTGTTTTATATTAAATATTTTAGTTTCAATTTACTCCGAGACTCAGTGTTTCCCGAAAATTCCAATATTCCAGTCTCTAACATTTTAATTTCAATTTACTCTGAGACGCAATATTTTCTGAAAATTCGAGTCTTTCAGTCTCTAACATTTTAATTTCAATTTACTCTGAGACTCAGTATTTTCTGAAAGTTCAAATGTTTCAGTCTTTAATATTTTCAAATTCAAATATTTCAGTGTTCCAGCATCTCGTTATATTTCCTCGATCATTTCTACTTACTCTTAGCATCGCACCACTGTTCCTCAGAATTAACATGCTACCACCCCAGTTGAAACCAATTTCAACCAGCAATCGTTCAATGTATCTCTATTCTCCAATACGTCGAACAAAAGCTACAGCAAAAGACGTTCCCAGAAAAGTTCACGACCCCTATAACTTCTCTGTCTCCAGTGGAAGAAGGTGATGGCCCGTACCACGCGCTCGCGACGAAAAATGGCGAACACGACTGATGCTCCCTCGCCTGCGAGCAGCCTTTTGTCGTCCACCACGACGACCCCGTTCACCAGCCCGACATCGACAACCTACTTCGGCGAGGGCTATACCTTCAATTACAGCGGCCTGCCCAGCCTAGGTGGCTACTCATTGGAGGACTTGAATTACACGGAGCTCTGGGTGGATGTATGGAATAGCACCGAGGCCAGTAATGTGACCGAGAGGTTAAATACCACTGTACTGCCATCGGGAGGAGGCTACTGCGACGAATGGGAGGCAGCGCAGCACAAACTCTTCCAGGTGAGCTCTGATCGACGGTTTTTCTTTAAACATAATAGCGTATGACAGAGTTGTAAGAGTAGTTGGGCTAGTTAGCACGCTGTGTCTGTTGAAAATAGGACTAGCAGTGTCGTAGATGAATAGGAAAATGTTGATATAGAGTAGGATGTGTGAGAATAATCAGGACGAAGTACACTGTTGTTTGGAAGTATTAGGATCACTTGTTAGATGTGAAGTAAACGTTAAGATTGTGGCAAGGTTAGTTAATTTTCGATTGGCGCTAAATTCGTTTTTTTTCCCGGGTTTCAGAGAGCGTGTCCCCTAAGTATAGTACGAAACAACAATTTGCACTCTGCAACGTTAGAAGCTATACGTCGTTCAAAATGAGAGTAACCTCGCTCTCGGACCGATTCTCGTCCGTTCTGCGCATAGACGGAGAGCGTAGCAGAGGGTAGGACGGAGAGAAACGTAGACGGTTAAGTGGGGGTTTGGACGTCTAGTGGTTCTAGCCCTGCCTTAGGCACGCCCCTTGCGCGAAGCGAGGTTACTCTTATTTTGAACAGAGTATAGACAGAGTACCGAAAAGCAGGGTTTATGTTTTAGTATTATACTCGGTGGTGTACATACTGCATTTCGTCTTATCTACACTCTCGTCTATAGGTATTAGAACACTTGTTAAATGTGAAGGAAATATATAAGGTTCTAAAAAAACATGATTCAGCCTGGAGTACTTAGGATAAAACTTCTAAATTTCTATTTCCATTTAAGATACCGTTAGAAAAATAGGATCCTAATAGTGTCGTTGATTATGTTACGCTAAACACTGTCATTGAGCTTACTTGGTAACCCTTTCATCTAATTTTGAAAAAATTCGTGGTATAGTCATTACGAGAAAATCATTGCAAATTTTACAAAATCTATTCAAGCCATTGTGTTACGTATTGAAAATAATGAAACTTTGTCTTCTTCTATTTCTTTTCCCACAAATCTACCATTTACGAGAAAAATTCGAAATACTAATTACGCGAAAATTATTGCAAATTTGAAAAATCTATTCAAGCCGTCGTGTTGTGTATAAAATGTAACGAAACTTTGTCCTCTTCTATTTTTCTCACAAATTTACCATTTACTAGAAAAACGCTAGAAACTAATAGCACTCTACATCTTCACTCATATGTGACACTAATTACGCGAAAATTGTTGCAAATTTAAGAAATCTATTTAAGCCATCGTATTGTGCACAAAAACTAGCGAAACTTTGTCCTCTTCTATTTCCCCCCCAAATCTACCGTTTACGAGAAAACCGCGAAAAACTAACAGTACGAGCACCCTGTACATTTTTACTGATATACGCTACTGACATTGTCGTTTAAGTGACGTAATACTTTCTGTGTAAACATAATAGGTGTCCTAATACTCGCGAGCGTCAGTGTACATTACGTTGAGTTGAGAATAGGATTAGACACGTCGTCGATAATGTTTATCAGCCAGCTGTATCATATTTTACCTAAGAATTATTAGGCAGACGTGTATCGTATTTACCGGAGATACGATTAGGAAGATCGTAAGCGATATCTGCTAGAAATTTCGTAGCAAGGTTGTTATTCCCTAAAGATTCGTTAAATGAAATACACTAATTCAATATTCACATACACGTTTCAAGTTCGCATGAAACTCGTTGACAATTTACTCCCCAAGGATAATACGAAAGATATCGGACTATTTTACCCGGCAAACATTTTAACGCTCGTATAATTTTCAAACGAAATTGTTTAGCCGATAATATGTGGACAATGAAAATGCGAGCGGTGAAACCTTTATCGCTGCTTTATTTACCGGCAATCGATTTAAATGGTACATAATAGTATTTATTACTAATTTTATGTACAGTACTATTTATTAACTGGAGCTTCTGAGTGGAAAGCAATATTTCGCGAGCTTCCGTCAGTATCGACTGTAATTTGTCAGTTGAACGAGCGAATCGAACTGTTAGAGCTACGAATAAAATTGATTAGAATAGTGATAAAAGGAAATAAGAAAGAAAAGTAACTTCCTTGAATAGATGAGTAAATAAATTTATTTATTTTAAGTCTCGTCAACCGTTAAATTATTAGCGACTCAGATAATGAAATGGAATTTACAGTTTTTGAAGAAGAATTGTATTTTTTGTTTTAGAAACGATAGAATTCATCGAATTCCACAAAATTTTTAGCATTGAGAGTTTAGGTGAATTTAATAAAGTCGGAGTGCTGAATAGACGAGACAAACCTTTATCATTTAGCGGAATAAACGTTCTTTTCAGCGAGAGATTTACCTACGAAGAAGCGTTCTCGCATAAAGGTTATTGCATAACTAATGAAAAATGCTTTCACCGTGGAATGTTGAGGGACAAAGCGAATAGAGTTTGCCTTAGGCAACGAGGAATTGGTACAATACTTCATTCGCCGGGGTTCTTAAAAGCATTCTCCCGAATTAATAGCGTTAAAAGTGTTCTACTTCACGCTAATCCTTGGAAACTGATACTTGTCTACGTTTCTCCCCTGGAATACTTGTCTGAATACAGGAAAATTTCGATGACAATTTTCACGTGCAATTTCATACCACTGATACAGCGATGAGCAACCTGCGACCCGCCAATCATTTATTTACCGCCCGCCGATGTTGTTTATGAGATCCGTTTCAATCAGTTAGAGTGACAAATTTCTGGGTTTAACGTGATTTACGAATCCGTGAAGTAATTCTCGAAAATACCGTAAAACATAGTGTCGTTCGGGAAACGAAATAAAATAGAAATTTATTCATTCTGAATTATAGCGTCGGGCGAAAGGAAGTTTAAATGGTGAACGATACGAAAAAACACTATATTTTACAAGAGTAACGAATTTTTCAAAATTTTGTATACAGTAGTGAAAAGACGAGGGCCAGGTTTATTTGAAATTTTTCATTACAGATAAAAAGGTTGTGAACAGCGACCTTTACAATTTTCTTCGCGATTCTCACAAATTTTCTCTACATCTAGTAAGCTAATCCTAATTTCTCAAAGAAAACTCAAGTCGTTTGGCCGAATTTGAAGAAACTTCTGTCCGTAACTGTATCGCAGCTTGTAACTTCCTTCTGTCCGCCACTGTAAATCACCAATTTTCAAATTAATAAATTAGAATTTTGAATCGAAGTTGTAAAAACGGTTTGCTGATCGTTACACTACCACCCAAAATGAAACGCTAAACCGAGAATCTCCCAAAACCTCTGAAAAACTGCCAGAAACCGAAAAAAACGTTCGTACAATCAGAATCCCGTACACAAATTTGCACAGAAGACCGCCAGAACTTCTTCTTCGAGCAAAATACAGACGTAGAACAGAAAAAAGAGCAGGGAGACAGCTCGTCGAATTTTCTTACGAATTCCATCGGAAGGGGGCGAGACGAGAGAAAAAGCAAGGTTGTGCCTCGTAATGGCGTTCACGAAGGCTCGAAGACGCGATCTCCCGATGGATTCTCACCGGGGAAAACCGTTTTCGATTTTGCCCAGGCGGCGAATCTGTTCTTCGCGGTGGCGTTCCTGGTGCCGCGATCATTCAAGGCCTCTGTTCTCGCACTACGAACGTTTCTCACCGCCGGTTTCATGCTGGCCGCATTGTGGGCCGGTATCACCATATGCGCACTGGACGCGATGCTATGGTGTTTGGCCCTGGGCCTCCTGAACGGGATCCACTCGCTGATACTCGCCTGTCGATTTCTGCCGCCGGCGCTAAGCCCGGAGCTGGCCGAGCTCTATCTGAAACTCTTCAAGCCGTACAAGGTCAGCAAGAAGCACTTCCAGGAGCTGGCCAAGGAGGCTAGGATACTGAAGCTGGACTCTGGTCAGACGTACGCGACGGAAGGCGTGACGTCCGCTGACGAACGGCTGTCGATACTGTTGCGTGGCAAGTGAGTATTACACGCTCGCGATGTGAAATTGTACGTGCACGGTAGTCGTGGAAGAAATCGATCCGGGGGGTTTCGATGGCCTGTACCTTCTGCAACATACTTTCGTATTCACATCTCGCTCGCACGGAAGTTCTGCCGAGCTCCTTTTCTTTGTGCTTCGCTGCTTTTTTATTTGCTTCTCCTGTTCCTACCTTAACCCTTTGACAGTCTAAGAAAAGTATGAATTATGGTGGAAATTTATATTTCACACATATTTTTGGAAACAAGAGATACACAACTCTGCGCCGTAGTTATGGCAATAATATCTTCGTCCCTTTTCAACTTTCTTCCTAAGAGTCTCCCTTGAATTGGATAGTTAAACATTTGACCGAGTCTCACACGGGATGAACTGTCGAAGGGTTGATAGCAGAACGATGGGTGTTTAACACGTTCGCTACCACTAATTTCCACAAGAGAACGGTGTTGCCTACGTTTGATACACCATAAAAAATGCACAGTTTGAGTATTTAATAAGTATTAGGTGTGTGTATAAGTTCAGGTATCTGTCGTATTGTGTGAAACTGAAAAAAATACAGATATTAAGAATGTAAGTGAATGTATCGTGGTAGCGAACATGTCAACAGACTGCGAGTGGATGAAGAGATGTAACACCCACGATTAGGTGTTACAGAGTTTTGCATGTAGGTTGGTAGTTTGTAGATATTGCTGATGCATGATTGTAAAGAGCGTTTATGAGGATCATTTTTTTTTTTTTTAAAGAAATTTTGTGTTATTGGGAACCGAGTTGTATTCAGTCATTCTATGAGTAATGTCGTTTTTTAGCTGGGGTCGATGGTCGTACACGTCAGTAGGTTTAATTTGCAATCTGTAGAAATGGAGCATGAAAGCACTTTTTCATTGGTTGCTGAATGATTAGATTTGGGAATTAATACCACATCTACCGTATTCTCTATTTATTTCGTTGAGTAGAAAGCTTTTTCGAAAATACAGATCACTTAGAAGGTTAACGTTCCATCACTCGTTTAATCCAAAAGATAAGAATTTTTTTGAAAAGAGAATTAGAAAAATTGCAAATGGTCAATATTATATTGATACTGGGCTTCTGAAATGAAATTACTTACGGGTAGACCTAATATTTATCGGAATGAGTGAAATATTCGACACAAGGTTCAAGTGTTCAAATTCTCAGAAGAAAGTGTGATACACAAGGTGGAGTGTAATTTTCTTGCAGTTTATTTTCTATTTCAAGAAATTTACGTGCACCCTGTTTACATGTTAGTTTCACCGTAAATTTCGCTCCTCCGCGGTGGTTAAAAAATCTGTAAGAAGCTGGTGTACGTAGGTAATTTTCGCAAAAATCTACGAGAAACTACTTTGGTATAATTAAAACGCGGCGTGAATGTAAGTACATACGTAAATGGAGAAACACTTCACTTCAATAATTCTTAATACATCTCTAGAGCATTTTTAAAATAATTAGTTCCCGCGCTCGATACAGAAACCTGGAACGTGCTTTGAAAAATCGTTGCCCGCTGATTAACATCATTTCCACCACTTTTAACTTTCGAAAATTACTCTGAAAACCTTTTTCCTTAATTTCTCACTCTAAATCCTGTCACAATCGACAAGCCTCGATTATTCTAGAATTTCGTCGCTAAAATCGCTCCTATAGATCGAGCCTGATCTAGATTTCAAAAGTAACTGCTATTCGATCGCGTCGAAAGATATACAAGAATTCTTGCCAAGAAAGGAGATTCAGGTACGTACCGAAAATGGTACACGTGGCATGGAACACGTTAACACTTTACCGACCGGTAGCCTATTAATCGTTCTTTTGCCGCCAACGCTTACCGACCGATAGCCTAGTAATCGCTTTTCTGCCGCCGACGCTTACCGACCGGTAGCCGGTAAAATCGGTCAAAGTTTGATTTAACATTTCTATAGGTATAAGAAAAAGCGCTTATATTCCCGCGCGATAGCCTATACAGAGCCGGTGTCAGCGATGTATCTGTGGCCTAGTGATCGGTCGGAAGTGCGTAGGGTGTTCAACCGCTACCGGTCGGTAAAGTGTTAAAAGGTCTCCGGAAGCGTTTTCGCGGGAAGTTCGCGTCTTATCAAACACCTCGCGTGTATCCTGTCTACAAAATACGCGCAAAACACGCGTACATCTTTGTCAGCTTTATTCAGCATGCCTGAACGTTGGAAAAGCTGCACTGTCTAACGTATGGTTGTATGGAGTCCAGGTTGAAGGTGACCTGCGACGGGACACACTTGCACTACATCAAAGCTTATCAGTTCGTGGACTCGCCGGAATGGGAGGCGATGCAGGAGAACATCGACGACGTCTTCCAAGTGACGATACGAGCGGAGGAGTCCAGCACTTACATCTGTTGGACCAGGCTGAAGTTGCTCAGGGTACTCAGGCATAGGCCGCTACTGAAAATCGTCCTCAACACCCTCATCGGTAAGGACATTACGTCCAAGTTGTACGCCCTTAACGAGCAGCTCGCTGGTGTCGCCGCGGCCAGTGAGACAACCACGTCGAATCCTTACAGGGGCGTCGCGAGAAGTCTAAGCGTCGACGCTGTAAATACTGAAACTGCCGGAAGAGTACGATCGACAACGTGGAAGGCACAGAGGAGGCACAGTAACCCGCGTAGCGACAGTAAGTTTCCTTCTACCTCCTTTGCGGACTGTTCTCGAGTCGATAGTTAGAAAAGGGGGCGGGTAGCGTCTTGAGAGGAAAGCCTGTTAATTAACGGGGTAAGGGATTTCACTTGGAACATACGATGGAGGAGAACAGTTGGGTGGAAACTGCGAAGCTCTTTAAAGACTAGATTCTAGCAGACTAGATTTCAGATGCTCGAGAATAGAGAGGCTTTTGATTCCCGTTAAAAAGCTGGAAAACAGGCTTTGTCTTTAGACGTTCAACTTATCTCGACGATGTAGCGTAACGTTCGAATTGGGAATAGTCGAGCTACTTATATTTCTTTCAAGGATCTCCGTGACACAGGGTACGGTAGAATATCTCCGGAGTAACAAATTACTGCACGCTTTTCAACATAGGAACAGCAACCTCGTCCTCGTGTAATAACGCGAAAGGTACATCAGACAAATACCACATTCTACCAGAAAATCCAACGAAAAGTGAATCGTAAAGGAAACGTAAAATTTCCTCCCCCATTTGACAATTCGCTATTCACGATTCGTTTCCTAATGCAAAACTGCCACGGTACAGAACTCTATCTTCCTCGTATCTTCCACGAAATGAAAAGTATATCCAGTGTGGTCGTTGACGAAATGTACACAGAGCGTGACTGATCTTCGACAAACGTCGCTCACGATCGATCGATATCGAATAGCAATTAATCGGGTGACACATGGCGATCGGTGACGAGCGTCGAAATGAACTGTCCACAGGGAGTTCGCCGTCCCGGTATTCGCACCAGTACTGGGCGCCCGTGGTGGCAAATCACTTCCCGCCAACTTCGCCGTTCACCCCGGGCCAGAACCTCGGGTACTCGTTACTGCCGCAGGGTGTTCAGTTTTCACCACCGCCACGGGCACCCCTCCTGTCGCATCAGCCGTTGACGCGGCAGCGTAGCGGCGGCACGAGCGGCGATTACACCCTGCTACCTCAGACACCGAAGCTCGAGAGGAAACGCTCGAAAAAGGGGACGAGAGAGGTGAGTAGTATAGAGGCGAGGCTCTCACGCTCAATTACCGCGGCTCTTTTTCTTCCCAATGGGATGTTTAGCGCCACGCCACCAACTATTACGGCGCGCGCCCGCGCGAAATCGCTTTCGCTGCGAACAATTCTGCTTTTGGAGGTTTTTCTTTTCTTTTTAAGGTGAATCTAGCGCTGTTTCGCGGCGATGCTGATTGAATTTTTTTTTGGTGGTCAACAGGGAAACGTTATGCAGAGTGTGTAAGCTTGTAATGAACGCCTAAATTATTTCCACTGTTGGTGAAAGTGGGAGAGTGTGATTAGAGAAATTTGTGGTGAAAAAGTTCACTTATTTCTCCCTCGTTCGTGATTACGGGATATGAATTATTTTTCTAGCGAGCAAAATTAACCAATTTATGCGGAAAGTATGAGTATAAGCATAGTGACAGTGCATTATTTATATGTAGGTTAATTGTAACAGCAACTTTGCTGATTAAAAATTTAAATTTTTGAAGAATAGCAGCTTCTAAGGAATGAACTGATTTTTACTTAATTTCGTTAAAATGCAAGAAAAATTAAACTGTGTTTATTCCATTATAGTTAACTACAGCAGTCAGCTTCTAAGGAGTAAACTAAAATTATACTGTGTTCATGCTACAACGAGAAGAGCACTTTTACTTAATTTTAGCCACTTAAAAATTCTGCGTTTATTTCGTCCGGGTTAGATGACGAAGGAAGTAGAGTTTCCACGAGTACATCTTTCTTTTGGGTCTCATCTTTGGTGCACGGAAAATGTGTTGAAATAATCAAATTGGTGCAGTGTATTTCTCTCCTCTTGTTTCTTTTTTCTTCGTTCGAAGTTAGTACAAATGAAAATAATACAAAGTTTTATTTGATACTGTTCGTAATTAACGGTAGTTGAATCGTTCATTCGCGGGAGCTCGGGATTGCAATGCTATTAACACAGGACCAGTGGAATTACCTTGCACTGGTCAGACGCCACGGGGCATGGTTGATTTGATATACTGAAGCGTGTAAAATTACAGCCTTTTTAATGAAAATTGTTAGAAACATTATACCGCCTCGTTTATGGAAATTTAGTGGCCCTTGTAAATTGATTTTCAAATTGAAAATGCATTTAAATGAGGAAAAAAGACGTTTTACACGTTTAAATGAAATAAGAAAAAATGAAGAAGGTATGTTACATTTTATAACAGTTAGGTAATAAATTAATAGTTATGCAGATAGCAAATTAAACTGCTTCAATTAAAACCAACTTCGCCAATATTTAGTTACAAACAATTTGTAATATTTCGATAATTTACTTTTATGATTTCCATAACATTACTACCCTTTACATTCGAAAATATTAAATATTCATGCATCATTTAGAATTCCCCTAGTGTCATTTGCGTTCAGTAGTCGGTGTTATTGAAACTGCAGCAATGCTGAGAGTAGAATCCTTCTTCATAAGTCAAACGAAGCATTGATACAGTTACTGTACATACTTGAATGAAAATTTACATTTCTAAGTATGTCATTTGTACACAATTTTTCATAAATAAATACTCAAGTTGTCAACCAACTGATTTTTCATAAATCTTCAAAATTGTCCTCGATAGTAATTCAATTAGGTGTATTAAATATGTCCATCTTCTCTTTACATTTGAAAATTAATATTCACGTACCATTTAGAAATCTCCAGCGACATTTAAACAATCCCAATATGTCACAATTAAATTCTCAACCTCTCAGCCAACCAATTTATCACAGATCTCCAAAATCGCCCTCGACAGTAACTCAATTAGGTGTACTAAGCCTTCACCTTACATTTGGAAATCAATATTGCACCACTTAGAAATCGTCGGTATCGTTTAAACAGTCGCAATATCTCGCGATCAAACACTCAAGCTCTCAGCCAAGCAATTTATCACAAATCTCCAAACTCACCCTCGTTCGTAATTCG